CTGGGTCTTAGCGCATCCCTAAGCAGGTCTTTCTAGCACCATGTTGTCTCTGCCCAGGCAGGGCTGACCGGTTGCTGGAGGCGCTGACTTTGGGATTCAGTGGGGCTGTCTGCTTCCCTGAGCAACCGGGTGGTGCTGACTGTGATAATGGGCTGCTTAATTAGATTGACTGGGCAGCTGTGGTAAGAATTCTCAGTGTGCCTGCCTCCCTCCCTCCCTCTCACACGCACATACACACACGCGCACTAGAAAGTTTCATAAGCTGTAACTGCAGGGTGTGATGTGCTGACAGTGACTCCCTGCGGCCACTAGAAGATGGCCGGGTAGCACATTTCAGCCCCTTGCAGTTGCGGATTGATGACTCCACGCTGCCTGGGAACATTTTTTATTTTCTAGATACGCTTGTACCTAGATGGCTCTGCTGATAAATCTAACTCATCAGTAAATCCCCTCAGAGGTACTTTCAAAATAAATCTAGAATCAATGAAACTGGTATGTTTTCTTATACATTGTCTCTTAAAGGCATAACCATCCACCATGGAGCCCGTTGCCTGGCCTGGGGGAGTCATGATGTTGACAGCATATTAAGCTTCCTGTAAAGCATATCTGAGTAGTAAGTTTCTGGTCTCGTGGCCATAAATGTGTGACTCCTGTAAATCTAGCGCAGTGCCTGTCAGGGGACGCTCTCAGGAGCACAGCTCTTGTCACTACTGCATCCTGCAGCACGTGGTGAATTAAACGGCACGTTCAGACGCTGTGCCTGTTCTGTGGTGAAAACAGTGGCTCCACGTCATCGAACACCTGTGTGTCCTGTCCTCCACTGGGAGCTTTCGTGTCTGTTTCCATCTGTTACTAGAGCTTTACAGCAACACTTGCAGGTGAGTACGCCGTTCCTCACATACAGCCAGGATTGCTGAGGCTCGTCGGGGAAACACAGCCGACCTGAAGGCCTAGGCCTGACAGTGACATCCAGAATTTGAAGGCTGAACGATGTGTGAATTCAGCTCAAAGCAGAAATGTCCCCTGTGCTCCTCTTGCTCATCAAAAACAAATTGGCTGTTTTTGATCCAGAACCTCATGTTCCAGAAGCAAATGGTTGAAAATGTGCTGATGTCAATCGCTTCTTAAAGATGGCATTGTTAGAGGACACTGCAAAATATTTCCATGGTTTTTTAACGCCTTTATTGTGGTACAATTCCTGCACAGCAAACTACATACATTTCAGATGTACGGTGGGATGAATTCTGATAGATGTGCACACCAATGAAACCACCACCACAATCAAGATAGCTCACACTTCCATCATCCCCCAGAGGTGGAAATTTCAAAAAAACAAAAGAAAAATAGGAAAATCTAATAAAATTTGAAAAGCACTTCTACTCTCACTGTACAGCTATAGCTACTGTTACTTTCCTCTGTTTTACCATTTTCCATGTAGTCATAATCAGACTATAAACTCAGCTTTGATTCTACATTTTAAAAAAAAATTAGTATTATATAAAGCATTTCTCCAGCCATTAAATATTCATAGAAAACAAATTTTAGTGGCTCTGAATCAAAGGTTGACAGACTTTGAATGTGATTGTCCAGGTAGTAAATATTTTTGGCTTCATGGACCATATAACCTTGGTGACAGCTTCTCAGCGCAGCTGTTGGAGCATGAAAGCAGCCGGAGGCAATGTGTATGCGAAAGAGAGTTGCTGTGTTCCAATAAAACTTTATTTATAAAAACAGGTGGCACAGCAGATTTGGTCCCGAGCTATACTTTGTACGATGTATGGGATACACTGTAAATCACAGAACCCTTCCACTGGGGTCACTGAAATGGCTTTCAGTGCTCTAAGACCAGGAGACAGTGATGGACAATAGACTCTTGGGGTCACCTCCTTTGCCTGCTCCTACATCCCACAGCACTGTCCAAACTGCCATTTCTTTTTAGCAACAGGTCATCAAAGGCCAACCACCAAGACCCGCTTGGGTCCCATGGGACGGACCCATGAATAGGAAATGCCCCCGAGAGGGCTTCTCCCCAGCAGACAGCCACGCCGGCTGCACGGGACCACTCACCTTCCGGACCCAAGGGCCGCGGCTTCGGAGTGTGTGATCCCCTCTTGGCTATCGAGCAGATCACCGTTTATAACTCCTTCAAATTGCCACCAATTATTTTTGGAATGAGTTCAGGAGTATGTAATTTTTTTTAATAGTCCTAGCCTACCGAGAAAGTCAGTTCAGTTCCTTGGTGAAGATTTTCTGCTTTATTTTCATCTTAAAGGCTGTGAGAAGGGAGGCGGCTGAGACACAGGCATGAGGGAACATGAGAACATCCCTGCTGAAGGAGGAGGAGGGCCGAGGAGAGGTCGAGGGGCCTCCCGCGGACTGGAAGGCACAGGGGGTGGGCTTTTAAATGGCTCCAGTTGGGGGGAGTGGTGATCCGAAGGTAGTTTGTTTTTGTGCTTTTGAGTGACAGGCATTTCCTTCTCATTTATGACATGAGAAGCAGGAGTCAGGAGAATCAGTCCACCCTTTAAGGACTTGAACCCTATGTTGAAAAAGAAAAGCTGAGTATAGGAAAGGTATTCACAGTCACATGACTGACTGTCACAAAAT